GCTCGGTTTCTGCAACCAATCTGCTGTCAGATTTTGTGAGCAAGATCTGCTCGATTTTTGGCACCAATTTGTAGACTTAATCAATAATAACAACTTCTGTATCAGATTTGTAGCCTTTTTGTTGACAACAGGTGATAGCAGACACTTGCATGATCTGCTTTTGACAGATTTGGCTATCTGGGTATAATCTTCATACATAATATATATAAAATTATGTTTACATTTGAATATTAAATTGACAATAATTATATAAATATTAAAATGACATAATATAATATTTAATTTTAAATAATTTTACAATATTTCTATATTATCAACTATATAACTTAGATTATGCATGTACACAATATTTATCGTTTATTAATACATAATTGAATTTTCCTAAACAGATATGAAAAGCGATTAAGTATTATGACCAAACTGCATTCTCCTAATAGAATCAATTAAAATTTCACTAATTGATTCAGTGATAATATCATTGATTTGCAGTGAAAAAATGGCTCTCTTAAAGTTAGGTGTCAGTAACAGATTAGTTTTACTAGGAAACAGTTAAAACTTCGCTGATTTACTTAGTAACAAATAGTTTTATTTAGAATTAATAACAATATCATTGAATGCCATTAACATATTAGTTTTAAAGTAATTGATTGTGAAAGTTTCAATGGTTAAATTGATAGAGTGCCCGCTTGGTAATTCAGAGGGTTCCAGGTTTTTCAGGTTCGAATCCAGTCGAGATGATTTCTAACACAATGGATTTTTTCTACAAGGTAATACTAAGACAACATAGAGAAAAACCAAAGAAAACTTACTCAATAATATAAATAAAGAATCTAAGTCATTTTTTTATATTATAAATGTCATTTTGCTATCAAATCGTGTTGCGCAGATCTTGCTTCATATTTGGCGTCAATTTGGTCTCAAGTTATGTTATCAAGCTTTGCTCGGTTTTTGGTAGCAATTTGCTGTTACTTTTTGTCGACAAGCTTTGGCAACAAAATCGAAGCCTAATGCTAACACAGTTGATGCCAATTTGTTGAATATTTTTGCTTAAAATTGCTGATAATTTGCTGGCAAATTGCGAACAAATTGATTACTGGGTACTTTACACGAATACCTAGTATCTACCTTGCATTGACCCTCAAATCCATATGTTCAGCACAATTAATATTTTGTTTAGATTTATTGTATATAAAAATTATTTCAACTTTTTCTGCAACTGTCTGATATTTTATATTCACAATGAAAAATGCACAGAATAATTCAGTTAATCAACAACTTCAATATAAATTAATTTACAGTTTAACTTAAAGAATTACTGAATTATTAGACAAATAGTAAATAACATATGTCAGATCCGGCACAACGTAAAACTTCTAAATTTCTAAAATGAGTGTTTTTGAATTCACAAAAGTTTACTTATAAGTACATATTTTTTAACAATCTGTGATCCTTATGTCTATAAAATGGTTTCACCTTAACTGGTGAAAAATAGTGAAATTTATCAACAGATGAGTTGGTATAAACAGTTGCAAATGAAACGAAAATGTTATATCAAGAGGAACGATAGTGCCTTGTGCCATAGTCACGCGCAATGAAGTCGCGCGCGAACGGAGCAAGCACTCCGTGCCTCTATTACGCGAAAATGAGTAATTTTGACATTTTGCGGAAAAATGAAATATTTATATTTTTTTAGTAATGACTGAACCGATTGACTTCTTTTTAATCTCAATCGATTCAGAACAAAACATTAAAAAAAAATATTATCGCGGTTTTTGTGTTTGTGTTCTCTAGTCGGAAATATTTGACAATAACGTTTTGACAGTGAAAAATTCACGTTTTCATGGTCATTGTGGGATCGAAATTTGTGCATGTTTGTATGCCTGCTAACAGATGGCATAATTTATTCGCACGCTGAAAAAAGAAAAGAGAAAAAAAGCAGGAAGTGTGAGTTAGAGAGAGAAAGAGAAAATCAAGAGGCACGGTTGTTGTGACGGTAGTGTTTTGAGTCATTTTAGATCCACCGCACAAAAAGTCTTCTGTAACGCGTTATACGTTATACTTAAGTATGGCTATAAACTTAGACTCGTTGTTTATATATACATAAGTTCAAATGTAAGTTTACGACTAGTATTCATAAAAGGAATCGTCGTCACTCATGATGTCATATTTGTGCAATATTTTCACAATTTGCCTATTGGAGGTATATACTGTGAAAATGCATAACAATTCTTTTCCAATTTTTGACAAATACTATTTACAAAATTTTATTTCGACAAAACTGTTGCGTTATGACGAATCATCTCAGTGCAATCATTGCAAAATCGTCGCTATTCACGATGCCATTTTTGTGCAATATTTTCACAAATGTGTCTATTAGGGAATATATTATGTGCTAATGTAGGATAATTTTGATATTTTTGTTGGATTTCTTTTTGTATCTTCTCGCGAATAGTATGGTCAGAAGTCAAAAGCGAATTTCAGCCGATCTTGAAGTATTGCAATACTTTATCTCGAGGAATTGGAAATTTTGTAACTTGTGATAAGGCAATTGCTATGGCTAACGAACAAATACCAGCAGATCAGAAAATATTTCCCTTTGCAATTCGTCATCTTGATGAAGACAAATACTGCAAGGATATAATTCTTGAAATACGGCAATACTGTATGAAAGAAGATCTATCTACTTTGCCGAAAGCCCGTCGTCATCAAAAAGTGTGAGTACTTTTTGCATTACACTTACTTTTTTTAAATTCCATTCGTCGAGCCCTATAAAATTTGTCTTTTCAGTCACGTCTTCTTAAGAAAAAACTAAACATTCTCTGGTTTTGAATGAATAATCGTATGACAAAAAAAGAAAAAGTTAACGCTGTTCACATTTATGTCTTTTGTTCAAACTACGTGCTTTGTCTTTGAATGTGCAACAGTCTAGACATTTGTTTCGATTATAGTTCATATTTCATACGTTTTTTTCAGAATGTATGTTGTCCATATCATGACGACATGTATCTTTTTTACTTTGGAATATTCTATTGTATTTACAACAATTGCGAAATAGTGAAAATCTTAGCGAATTATGTTATTGGAAAAGTACAATCGCTGGTCTTTGCATGATCGAAAAGATACATGGAAGTTTTGGATTTGTTATGGTATATATTATTATGCAATTTATGGAATGCAAATAAGAAACAAAAATTTCTTTACTATTTTACACTATGTATCTTTTACAATGCGTGGATAGTACTTGTGCGTACGTAATTATGTGAAGAAGGTAAAATGTTATTTTAAGTCTCTAAAGGTCTTTGATGTATCTGTTAATATTATCTATAATTGTAATTATAACAAATATAAGTCACAAGTGCCTGTAAAAATGTGTCTGTAAAACTGATTGCAATAAAAATTGCAGCACTTAGAGAAAAATATATTTTATTAATAAATATAATTTATTTATATAGAGAATAATCACTAGAGATAGACATACTCATGTATATATAATAAATTATTGAAAAATGTGATATTCTCGTTTTATCTTTTTTGTTTTGTGCTTTTATTTCTTATTGTAAACCAGGTCGATCAACAATCACTCTTGATTCACTATCTTCAAGTGAATCATCTTTCACACATGGTCTACAATAAAACAGCTGTTACAAATTTGTATAATTTTTTTTAACTATAAGAGAAGCTAACAAAAGGAAATTGATTTAATCTATCAGCTATTGATTGATGGTGCAATAGGCCATATTTCACTATACCCATTATATTTCACAAATACTGATTCAAGTTTGTATTCTCTTCTAACTCTTCTCTTTCTTTCTCCAATTGTTTGACAGCACTTTCCAGAGCAAATAGATGTTCATCTTGTACACCAGGAGCTATTACACGCATTGAGGATGCCAGTTTATAGAGATATTCTGTATTAGAACCACTGATACCACGAGAAACTAGTATGTGTCTTGCAATAGTATCTATATTCTCCATACCAGCATAATTTGGATTATCTTCTTCACCTATATAGATAGTGAGATAGAAAGGTGCTTCGTCCGAGATGGTCGATGCTGTCAAAAAACTTGTCTTTGAAATATGTGTTGTATTGGAGTTTGTTTGAACAGACTTAGACAGATTGTAAGGATAAAAGAGAACAGTTTTCTTTTTATAGCCACCCTTCTCTCGAAAATCCAAATGATTAACTACATTATCTATATTCTCGGAAGATATCTTATATGCAACACCCCATACTTCGTCATTGGGATTTGTAGAGGCTAGTAGTGTTACCACTCGGCCAGGCTAAAAAAAAGTATAAAATTTATACATAATAAACAAACCAAGTTATACAAAATTCATTAGTGCAGGACTTTTTTCTCTTCTTAAATATATTTTAAAAAAAGTATTTTTACATAACATACTCTACTTGCTTGTATAAAACAAATACAAAACAACACACATTGTAATGTTAAAAAAATTATATTATATATATATATTATTGTTTGGAAAAACATAATTTCTAGAGAAAACTCACCTTACTAGGCACTCCTCTATGATCAGTACTTTTCTGATAAAAGCGTCTAATATATCCTTTGATATGGCCGATAAGTTTTTTTTCGTAAGGGAAGTCTGCTTTCCATATCAGAGAACCATAACCAAATACCCACATGATTGTGACAAGTCTGTGTGAAAAATTTGTTGACGACGACGAGAGTTATCTCGCGTGAAAAGTCTGTCTAATGTTCCGGAAAAGATTGTTTTTCAATATTGCAACATAATTTGACAGATATATTTTGAAATTATGGTCGTTATGACCCATGATACAGATAACTTGTCGCGATTCGTCGAGCAAAGTGCTCGATTGCTGAACATAACCTTCCTTGACTAATCTCTCTCTTTAAATGCAATGTACACAACGCGTCAAAAATTCGCTGAGTAGGCGCGGAGATCTAGGGTCAAAAGGGGCGGTTTTTACTTAAGAATAAATAGCACCAACGAACACTGTACCAGCTAACTAGTAGCAATCGTAGTTATCCACGACTGTGTCGCGTTATTTATCCCTAAGAAAAACCGCTCCTCTTCCTCCTAGCCTCCGCGCCTACTCCACGAATTTTTGACGTCCTGTACTGCTGTGTACATATATCACACATGAGATTTGTGTACAATTGTGTGTGTGAATGACTTCAGCCGTGAATGGCCGCATTCAACACAACAATCTGAATTGTCGTCTTAGTTGCGTTCCGTTTCACGCATATGCGCGCATTTATCTGTACTATGCGTCACGTGTACTATAGATACACGCGCGCATATGCGTGAAACGGAACGCAGCCCTTGTTGTTGATTAGATAGTTCTAAAAGTAAGAGCCAATCACGTTCGATGCTACAAAGCTTGTTCTGCCGCGCATGCCGCGATTCGAAAGATACAAGATAATTCTTGACAATGCGTGATGATAGGTTACAATGTGTCTTAATGCGTTTCTTTAAAATATAATATCAACTGTTGACTTTGACTTCGAAGGTTGACTACGGAGGTAGTACCCTATACATACTCCTCCCTGATATTGATATTGGAATACTCTGTGACTAAGCCTTAAAGAAAACACTTGATTTAAAAGAATTGTAAGCCTAATAGGACAAGAGTCCTCTGGCAATATATTTCTTAAAAAAAAAAAAAAAAAAAAAAAAAA